TCCTCATAATGAACCAGACTGAAAAAGAGAGCAGCTCAGTCGATTGCTTCAGATTTACAGATTAAAAATGTAACAAACCAGTGTGAAACAATGCTGTGATTGTATGCTTCTTGCAAATGGTAAATTCATTATGTCTATTTTGTCAGGTTTGGAGTGATCAGGTCCATGAGGGTAGATTGAAAAGTTCGCAATCTCATGCAGAAGCTATTATAGTGCAGGCTTGTGCTGTGGACATTACAAGATGTCATGGAGGTATATCCTCAAGAGCAAGAGTCATTTGTGCAAATCTTTTCAGAAAGAATATTCCATTATCATAGTAATTTTGGCAGTAAAGAATGTGTCAATCAGTTGGGTTGCAAGTGTCTAACATCAAATATGTCTCATTATACTCTATCTCTGTTTGGAGCTGATCCTGAAAGGTTCTTACAATTTTGACCATTGCACAAACTTCCAGCCTGGCTCCAAACAACATTAGAAACAGAGTGAGCAGAGTGACTATCTCCATACAAAAGGGGCTTATCGTTTGAGGGAATTATGAGATGAGTTAAAATGAAGAGAGGTGGGAAGTTGAGTTCCCTTCCTATACAGGTCAAACCCACAAAAGTTCAGTCATTGCCATGACTACAAACCATGGGTTTTTCTCCCTCAGTGCCAATCCTATTCGCCTGGTCTGGGGCCATCAGCCCTCACCATCTGCTCCCAAACACGAAGAACAGATGAACCCATTTTGACTCAAATGATGATGTCAGCGTAGGTGTGGAGAACACTTCAGACAGCTGAAATAAGGATGTCTTTGAAAATGGGATGAAAACCCTCCAACATCATTGACAGAAAAGTGTCAGCGTGGAAGGGGATTATGTGTAAAATGAAATCATTTAATTATCTTTAGGTCAGGGATTGATGTGAGTTTCAGAACATATCACCATTGTTCAAAGTTCTAATTTGGTCTAAAACAATTTCAAATATGTTTTACTTGGTGTATCCTTGTTCTGTTTAGTTTATTGTTGCAAATCTTTCCTATATTTTCCTTGAAAACATACATCTGGTCAAATGTTTTCACAGATAAATGTTACAATCAAAGTAGCATTTCATCCAGCAAGCAGCCTTCTCTGTGGTCATGATGTCTGCTTTGTTTTGAAATGGCTGCCAAAAGACGTCTGCTATCTGATCAGATGCAGCCTTGCACTCAAGACTGCTGAAAGTACATGATGTTATTGGTCTATATCCGACTTGAGTTACACATCAGTCTGGTCCAGCTTCTGTAGGATGTGTTCCACGTGGCCAGACCTGTCTGTGCCAAACCTAGCAACAGATGGAGCTCAGAACTACATGAAACACACTACCTCAAGACCAGGACTCACACATATAACTGTTACATGTTGTACACCTAGCCGTCTGCTGACTATATCCCACATCAGTGTGTTTCTGGTATTAGTAGGCGTTATAAAATGTATCACCCCCCAGCAGTACTAGTATTCTCAACCCATTCACTCTACATCCCTCCTGTGTGTTGTAGTATTCAAAGGGTATCTGTGGTAACTTGCATTGTACTGAAGAAATTGATTATCATGGTTTTTCATTTAAAAATACCTGAGAACCCATGGAAAAAACGTTGGCAATGTTGATATACAGACCATTATATTACTGCTAGTTTTTTTAAATCTTGTGAATTCAAGCAGTCAAGTAAAAGAAGCTGTTTTACAAACTATTCTTAATGCTACATTCTTATATACCAAGCCATGTTTGTGACAGAAGTCTTTCCCTGAAACCATCACAGGGTTGTCTCCCCATTGTTGTGACAGAAGACTTTCCCTGAAACCATCATGTCTCCCCATTGTTGTGACAGAAGACTTTCCCTGAAACCATCACAGGGTTGTCTCCCCATTGTTGTGACAGAAGACTTTCCCTGAAACCATCATGTCTCCCCATTGTTGTGACAGAAGACTTTCCCTGAAACCATCACAGGGTTGTCTCCCCATTGTTGTGACAAGACTTTTCCTGAAACCATCACAGGGTTGTCTCCCCATGTTTGTGACAGAAGACTTTCCCTGAAACCATCATGTCTCCCCATTGTTGTGACAGAAGACTTTCCCTGAAACCATCACAGGGTTGTCTCCCCATTGTTGTGACAAGACTTTCCCTGAAACCATCACAGGGTTGTCTCCCCATGTTTGTGACAGAAGACTTTCCCTGAAACCATCCAACAAAAGGAAGGGACTCATACTGTTTTGGGCTGTGGTACGGGCATTGGCGTTCCTTTTCTGTAACTTGAAATCAATTTAGTGTTTTTCAACATTAACAATTCTCATAACTAGTGCTAAACTTTTTGAAATTTTTTCAAGGGTTTTCAATGAAATTTTGTATGTGCAATACTCATCAGCTTAACTGGTTCCTCTTACTATTTTAATTCTTTTCTACATTTTATTTTGAAACAATGCTAGGCTTCTTTTCCAAGCCATAACCTTCAACCAAGTGAATAGTTTTAGAATAAATGTGCAACACGATTAGTTATTGTATGGAACAAGTTTTTATGGATAACAACTTGTTCCATATTGTACGTCTCAACTTCTAAAATGCCACTCAAACAAGTTATCCGTTGATTAGTTATTGCTTTGTCATATTATAATATACAATTTTTAAATTTCTTGCACTTCCTCAGGAATTATTTGGATTTAGCCTCAAACACGTTGCATGTTACCCACCAACTGTCTTCTGCTAATGAACCCTTCCATTATCACGGCTGATTCTCCATCCGCTTGTCCACAGTAACAGACCATGGACTTATCCAATACCTGGCTCATAATTTGTGAGACAAATATTGAGCAAAGATACATTTATTGACCTGCCATTGGAGTTCCTGCTTTTATCTCTTGTTTTTGCCAGGTATATTCTTAAATGAAAGCTGTCTCGTGCTGGTCTGCCTGTAGCATCCAATTAGCCTTTGTGTCGTGAATTGGTGCCTAGTATGCGACTGTGTGTCGTAACCTTGTCACAGCCTTGACCTGCTGGGGAGTGTTGATTTAATACACCCATACATGGGGATTAATGGGAGTTGTAGATCAAAGAAAGGTTAGTTCAATTGTCCACAGATGACAAATGACATTTCTAAGATAAACAGCTTGATGAGAAATAAAAATAATGAAATCAATTACAAGATGAATGTCCGAAAGCGTTGTAGTCAACTTGCTATGTTTGGTAGTGCTAATCCATGTTTCCATGGGTCTTTTCCCGTGATGGAGGCAATGGGGTATCCTGGTGGTTAAAATATTCTCCCATTGGCTTTTATAGTGATGTTATATTTATTTATAAATAAGTTAAGGCTACATGTATGACATGTACAGGCCTGCATAGTATGGCCTTAAAAGAGCAAAACAATAAAAAATAAAGACTACCTTAGCCAGCCCCATTTCTGAGTACAATAAGCTAAACAGACCTTGAACACCAGTTCCGCACAAAATGTCAGCCACAGAAAATACCTGTGGTCACATTCAGTATAAGTAATCATGAAAAAACAAACAGGACTAAATATTTTTAATTACTGGTTGGATGTACATTTAAAAACACACAAATGTCTTACACAATATCACCCAATCACAGCTGTCAGATGATTCAGTCTTCACTGAAGGCTCCCTACAAACAGTGCTTGTCAAACTACGGATTCTGATTCGGTGTAGTACAACCTATATGTTGACCTAACTCAATGAAGGCTGAATTGAATGGCACTTGATAAGTGTAGATATAAACAATGGAGGGGTTTTAAGTAAATGGAGGCTACATTGTAAATTAATGACCATGAATTAGTTGCTATGACAATACCCTCTCTCAGTGGTGATCATCCTTACCTCCATTTGATGGACATACTGTCATGATATAGCTGTAGCTCACTGTAATGGTGTAATATCTATTATATTAACTGTATGCTTTGATATGAGCTGGTTAATAAATACCCAGACAAAGCAAAACTGACATCAGATTTTCAAGCTGTGTAGCATGTGATCATTATTGGATGATGTAACAATGTGATGTGTAATGACATCACAATAGGGATGACATCAGAGCCAATCATCATTGATCATGTAGCCACAGTCAACTTCATGGCAAGGTTCTCATATAACAATACCTGTATGCAGGTACCTGTAACAATTTTACACTCATTAAAAACACTACATGCACACACATGTTGTCATGGCAATCAGCTGTTACCTGGACAGCATGACTGAGTTGAGAGGTTCTTCATCATTTTGTCCTTCACCCAGATATCAGTTCTTGACATGTCTTCACAATCTGTTGTTACAGATTCCTTCCTGGCTGCTTTGAAAGACTTCCTGTATCTCACTGTCTTCTCTGCTGTTAAATAATTATCACAATCTTTTACCTTCTTAGGTTCTTGTGAAACCCACTTCTAATGCTAAAAGCAGTTAAAAACTCACTCACTCACTCTCACTCACTCACTCACTCACTCACCCACCCACCCATGCACTCATTCACTCACTCACCCACCCTTTTCCCTGTCAAATTAAACCATATTTAAGAAATGCCATGGTTTTTGATCTGTTACAAAGATTGAGTGATCCGTGTGACCATGTTTGATTCAGTGTGTGATGAGCATAAAACCAACACTTACTTTCCAGGTCTAGGGAGACCTAAAGGTATTTATGGCATTTATGTGCTCCATAGCCAAGCAATAGGGAAGTAATTAATAGAAAGCTTTTGGGGGTAAACCATTTAGCTCTCGTTGCCTGTGACATATAAATCGCCAGCAACCCTCAATGTGTTGATACAGTCCAGGGTCATTCTAAAGCCATCAGTGGGGAAATTAGGGTCATCATTTAAAAATTCTCTGAGGATTCTCGTGTAGTTAATTCTGAGAGAGGAGGTCATTCCAAACAAAATCGCATGTAACCAAACAAACATTCGTGCTTGTGAAGCATTCACCGATGGGATTATGAACCATAGCAAGAGCGAATATTGGTATAGATTTTTAAAAAATCATTTTTTTCTCTTGTTATAAAAAATAATTTCCCATTCTTGATTTTTCTTGTTTTGTGATCAGTAAACATCAAAGCATGAAAAAAAAAAAATTGGCCTGTTATCAGGAATGTCTAGGTTCAGTGCAGTTTCTACTGGCCTACAAGGGCAGTATTCTGTAAATACAGGTGTATAGCAATGTCACCCCAGTTGCTGCACATGTAGGAACAGTCGGCCAGTTAGAGTTGGGATAACATTGATGGGAGGTAACTCTAGCTGGATTATCTCTTTCCTCTTGATCACACTGTATCTGTCACCTCGGACTCGGAACAGAGTTGAGTGAAGAGGCTGTACAATCCCCAGTTCAGGCTGATGAACCTATGGTGTCATGCACACCAGCGTGAATGACCCTTTCCCAGTATAATGTTTGTGGTTTATCTGAAAATAATTAAATAAACAAGCATGGTAGATAAAACTGAACATAAAGGTACAATAATATTTGCATAGAAATAGGTTGGTCATTCAACTCCTGTACTTAATTATATTTTTTGAATAGTTATATATGTCTACTTAATATTTCCTGACGGCAAAGATTAGTTAAGCTATGACTGGTCATGAACTGATTCGATACACGTGTGTATGAAGGCCAGGTATCGATCAGCAACCCCAGTTCACCCTCTGCCACTCACAGGCGGGTTATATATATACGTATTCCAGCTGGGGCAGTATGACTTAGTAGGTGATGATATCACCTGTATTACCATAGATAGTCTACACACCAGATGGCTCTATTATCTGTTTTTCTTTCTAAATATAACACATGAATTTTTTAAAGCAGATTAGCATATTTGTCTGTATTCATATACAGCTGTTTTCTTTGATGTGCTACAGCATTATTGATTGGTTGTTGCAACTACATTTGACTACAAACTTTTGTATATATAATATACTGGTAATGTAGAACATTAGTGAGTGAATGGCTGTAATGTTCACTTTATTGTTTTGGTGTCTCTTTGTGTTAATTACCTGAAAAACATTCTGTAGCTACACAGCTCCAGAAGTGAAAAACAAGGCTGTATAATCAGATCAGTGATTGTTAGATATTCATATTTCCTGTTAACATTGTCCGCATTTGAAGTTCAGCTTTGTGGTCTGCTGCTTCTTGCTGTGAAGAGTTACCTCCCTTGGCAATACACTTGTCATGGGTTTATGTCCCAGTTTTAGTAATGTTTCAAAATTCGGTGTACTCACAACTACTGGTAGATTATTGGACTGTCCATGGAGGACAAGCCTCTGTTTTGGAAAATTAGACCTGTGTGTCATTTACCTATTGGCTGGTTAAAGCTCACGGTAAACATTGGTTGTTGAGGCAAGGGCTAGTAACCTACCACCTCCAGAACACAGATTCTTTCTTGTGAGGTTTTCGCAAGCAGGCACACAGGCACACATGCACACATGCACGCACACACATGCATGCACACACACACACATGCATGCATGCACACAGAGAGAGAGGGTAAAAGGGACATTGCTATTTTTTCTATTTAAATTGACTCTGCATAATGTTGGGTATTAGTGCTTGGTAGTTCATATTATTTCATCTGAGTTTTGATTATTTGAATAATCCCTCCTCCCTAACTGGAAACTGGTGTGGGAAATAGGTTTGGGCAGTGTCCTTCATCAATGAATTCTTGGATGAATACAACATTAGGAGTTTATATTTTGTCAGAGCTATGGCTGGACTATGTTTGTGTTGTTGTTTTTTCAGTGGGATGTTGGTTCCTTTCAAGAGTATTGCTTATGAACAGTTGAACACATCTTGAAACTATTCATGCATATCATGCAAGTGTCATACTGATGCTTTTCAATGTCAGATTTCTTTCCAAAGCTGTTAGTTCAAATTCCAGTTGAGCATGTATTCTAGTGTCCCACTTTTCCATGTTTCTCCATGGCATTTTGGCTGGTATTTGGCTAGTAAAGACCGGTGATATATTGAATGGATTAAAGGCATGGCTGGTGTTTTTGTTTTGTACTTTAACTCCACCATAGCTGACCATTGTACAACATCCTTTAAAATGGCATTTGCTGGCTGTCTTCCAATTCAAACAATTATAACCCAAATTTTTCATGTTTTTCATTTTGAAACATGATGTCTATATCGATTAGTTGCAACAGCAGTTCGTACTGTAATATCACCTATAAACGGTGTCCGTGTATTACTGGTTTCAGGGGCTTGTCTGCTGTAAACACACAACTGATTGATTTACTTGTAAAGGATAAATATCAGCCTGACATAATGGAGTTATATGAATCCATACATGACAACTGAGCATGACGTTTTGTACTTCCTCATAACTTGGCAACAGCTGGTGAATGGAGACCAGCACTAGTTTGTATCTAAAAATGTGAGTGAGTGAGTGAGTAAGTTTTACATGGCTTTTTGCAATACTCCAAGAATATCACAGTGACGGACACCGGAAATGTGCTTCACACATTGTACCCATGTGGGGAATCAAACCCGGTGTGCAGCGTGGTGATTGAACACTTTAACCACAAGGCTACCCACCATGCCCTCTGAATAAGTAACCATGAGCTGTTCTGTATAAGTTTGTAAAAAGTGTTATTAGAGACCACTTGTGAAGTTTATATAGGTAAGTGTTAGAGACATTATTTCTATATAATTGCTAAACAATGTTGTTTGCTTACATGATCCAATCCTACTGGAATGTACCCAGAATTCTAGTTTGTCATGAGAAATAATCAAACAAAAGGAATATATGATGAAATATCAAAGCAAAAGTCCAAATAAAAAGGATCCCTGTTGATGGGAATTCAGAACTGGAATTTATAGAAAATCTAAACTTTTCTAAAGGTTGGGCAGAAGAGAAAATGTTCATGCTCAGGGACTATGAGACAGACTTCTGAAACACTTTTACACATACATCACCTGCTGATCTGATGTTCCTGCAACATTAAAATTTTCCTCCAGTTGTAATTTCAGGACTATATATGGGGTGGTAGGGTAGCCTAGTGGTTAAAGTGTTCGCTTATCACGCCAAAGACCCAGGTTCGATTCCCCACATGAGTACAATGCATGAAGCCCATTTCTGCTGTCCCCCCACTATGATATTGCTGGAATATTGCTAAAAGTGGCGTAAAACTAAACTGACTCACTCACTCAGGACTAAATACAAGGCCATCATGAATCTTGTGGAAGACTAATCTCAACTCCTCTGAGGATCCACTAAAGGTGCGGGGATCCGATGAAGGTGAAGGTTATCATGCTTGTCATAACTGAGAGGTGATTTATAAGAATCTGAACATCATGGCGTCCCTAGTATGGTGATCCTCCTTCAGTTGTTGGTGACCTATAGCCTGTTTTTATATTGTATTGTCTTCGTAAATAAAATGGTTTTAGATTTAGACACCATCTGTGATAGTCTAGTTATCTTACAGTCCTTCGATGACTGATTATTTAATAATTAAAATTTATTGTGTATGCAAAACATTTCTCGTCACTATATGGCTCAACTCAACTCAACTCAACTCAACTCAACTCACTCACTCTCACTCACTCACTCACTCACTCACTCACTCACTCACTCACTGAAGATCATGGCTGCTCATATGGCTAATTGAGTGTCATCCTGCCCTAATTGCATAGTACACCAGTGTTCATGCAGTCGACCACTTGTTGACAGTCCACAACTCGAATATTTATAGGGATACAGCTCATATATGGCTGTATTTAATAGCATTCACTTGTCTGCCCACTAGCTGTCAACTTAATGGGAGGAGTTATTCCACTTGCTTTCTCCCAGAAGGGGTTTTAAGAATATTGATTGAATCATTACACTTCATTTCACGTGACGAATGATCCATCTCCTGGCATCTGTGGTTGACGTGTAAATTTGTTTCGAAAACAGTTATTGAATTTTTAATAACATGGGGATCAGGTGCTCACATATGTGATAATTCCTCTAAGAAAGACAGTAATAACCTTTTGTGTTTAAAATGCAGTTTAAATCCATGTTAGGATGAATTGAATTACCATGAAGTATTTTTCTGAAAATGGTATCACTTTTGAATAATACACACATCAAATGACCTGAAAAACGAGCATTGATTTTTTTCTGCCTTTCAAAACTAAGCCCAATTATGAATAATTGTTAGTAATTGCTTTCATTCTTGATGTCCAGCCCACATCACAGCATTAATGCTTTTAAGAAATTATTCACAATTTGTCTGCATATATTCCTGTTACTCCTTGTCGAAATAGAGCTTCCGGCTCAGGAGGGATCTTCTTGAAGAAGGATCTTGGTGCCTTGAGCAGTTTCCTCTCATGTGACCATTCAGGATTTGCGTACTTCCTACGGTGTATCTTAGCAATTACTTTAATTCCCTAGCAACACAAGACCTGTCCATCAGCTTCTGACTGTCCTGGGGTGTTCAACATTGGAAATCACACTTTAGAGTTTCACAAGAATAGTACTTTTTCATAAACTAATAGGCATACATTAGACAATTATACTTTTTGAGTTAAGTGTTTCTGATTTAAATTTTCAGTTCACTTTCAGCTCAGGCAGGGAGTGTCCTTTTGTCTGTTAATTTTAAACTTTTACATTATTTACCTCCCCTTTTACAGGCCGGTGTCTGTGAAACTTTCACCCCTTTTCCCACAAACAGGTTGGTGGGGTAGCCTAGTGGTTAAAGCGCTCGCTCATCACTCCGAAGACCCGGGTTCAATTCCCCACATGGGTACAATGTGTGAAGACCATTTCTTGTGTCCCCATTGCTGGTATATTGCTAAAAGGGGCGTAAAACTAAACTCACTCATTCAATCCCCCAAACAATAACGTGCACCCCCATCCACAGATGTCCCTTACACGCTTCCAAGTTGTGCCCTACAGACAGCCTATGGCTGTGAATTATACTTATCCATGCTGTTGGTACAACACTGACATTGACTGGTTATATGCAACACAATAACAACAATGTAGGTAGTTTTACACCATGAGGTTTGATGGTCATGGTTATTTAGAGGGTATCTTCTGTAGTGAAGGCAGCATCTCCTTTACACATCGAATGGATTATCTCCCTTGGGCAATGATGTCAATTTCCTGATTTATACCAGATAAGAATTCATGAGACATCAGCATTTTATGGCCAGCTATCAAATGAGCATCGGATCGGATCACACGTCATCATACATTATATAAACATGATCTTTTTTATTTTGAGCGAGTTTGGTTTTACGCTGCTTTCATCAATAATCCAGCAATATCACGGCAGGGGGCACCAGAAATAGGCCCTGTTTAATTTGGAAAATTTAGAAGTTGGTGAGTAAGAATAAAGGCAAAATGCTTTGTGGATGTCAAGTTCTTTATTATTGTGCAACTTTTCAATATCATATCCTTATATTGTTGTCAAACAAGACT